ATGACCATCCCCCCTGGGGGGTGATTTCTCGCTTTCTGTCTCTATGTCTCTCTCTGTCTGGTGAGCGCACACACCCTATAGCGAAAACCTCTCCAAAAAAAAAAAAAGAAAATATATGGGGGCTAGGGTCAGCAGGTTAGCATGGTAGTAAAAGCACTGAACTCCCACATGGCTGATTGTAGTTCAAGTTCTGGACCTAGTAGCTTGCTTTCTCACTTTCCCTTACTCTCTCTGGTCAAATTAAAAAATAATAAAAATAACTAATAAAAGTAAATAATTCTTTAAAAGAAAAAGTAAATATATGGGATTAGCAGGTGGTATGGTAGTTAAGGCACTCAACTCCCATGCTGCTGACTGTAGTTCTGGTTCCTGACCTGGTGGCTTGCTTACTCACTCTCTCACTCTCTTGGTGAGCACATGTGTCTTATAGCAAATTTTAAAGTAATAATTACAAATAAAGATAAATAAATAATTCTTTTTAAAAAATACATGAGAACCTTTGTAATCTCAACATAGAGAAGTATTTCCAAAATAAAAAAAAACATAAACCATAAAAAAGTAAAAAATCTATAACATAGAAAATATAAAACTTATTAAACTTTAAGGGACCAGCAGATGGCATAATGGTTACATCACTGGACTCCTACATAGTCAACCACAGTTCGAGTCCTGGACCCATGGCTTGAAATTCAAGCCTGGTATTTGTGCATACATGACTAAAATCCTGAGAAGAGAGTGAAGGAGAATGGATTGTGAAGTGACCATTGCCTCTGGGGTGGGGGGGGTGACTTCTCACTTTCTCTGTCAAGTGCATGTATTCCATAGCAAAAACTTCTCTTAAAAAAATTAAATTTAAAACACTAAACACAAAAATGACAAACCATACTCAGAGAAACTATTTATGATACACATATCTTACAAAACTTTAAAACCTAAAACTCTTGGAGCCAGCAGGTGGCATAGTGGTTAAGGCGCTAGACTCCTACATGGCCAACCACAGTTCGACTTGCAGACCCAATGGCTTGAAAATCATGCCAGGTGTACGTGCGTGCATGTATGTGCCCAAAATCCCAAGCATAGAAGGGATTATGGCATGGCCATCCCAGAGGGGGTGATCTCTCACTTTCTTTCTCTCTCTGTATGTCTCCCTCCAGCAGCATACACACCCTATGGTGATAATCTAAAAAAAACAAAACAAAACAAAAAAAAACCTCTTATAAAATCAATAGTAAACAAAAGAAAAATGAACAATCCACTGGGAAAAGAAAACTCAAGCCAAAATATCTGAAACATCTCTGCAATCGGCAAATTCAAATCACAATTATACATCAACCAGACAGACAAAAATGTTTAAGTTGACGATACCAATGTTGTTGAGGATGTAGAACAATGTGTAACATTTTACTGAGGAGAATAAACTGGAACAATCATTTTGGAAAGGTGATATACTTACTAAGATGAAATATATGCTTGTCTAAGACTCAGTAATTAAACTCCCAAATATCCCAGAGAAATTCTAGCACACACATATACCAAGAAACATATGCAAGATGTTCACATGTATATGTATCTTTTCAAGTATAATTGAACATATACTTGAGTATTACATGAAAGCATACTTGAAAACATATATATTGGGCCAGTCCCATGGCCTAGTGGTTAAGGGAGCCAGGTTCCACATGGCCAGTCATGGTTCAAATCCTCCCCCAAGCAGCCAGACCCAGTGGCTTAAAACTCATGCTGGGCACATGTGCATGTATGCCCCAAATCCCAAAATCCCAAAAGGAGAATGGAGGAGAAGGGATTGCGGTGTGACCATCCTAGACCCAGGGGGTGATTTCTCGCTTTCTATTTTTCTTTGTCTCTCTGGTGAGTGCACATGCCCTGTAGTAAAAATCTCTCAAAACAAAAACAAAAAATCCCTTGCCCAAGCAGCTTGAAAACCACACCAGGCATGATACAATGCCCCAAACCCCAACGGGCTGAAGAAATGAACGAGAAGGTATTGTGTGGCATGATGTGCCATGCAACATTGAGGGTGCTTTCTCTGTCTCTCTCTCCCTCTTTCCAAGCATACACACCCTCCGGTAAATAAAAACAAAAAAGTATGTCTTTTATATACATATGTATAATATTTGGACCAGCAAAAAAATAAATAAATGAAACACCCTAAGTGCAATTTGGTATAAAAATACTATGATATGAATATGCCATTTGATCTGTTAATATGTATATACATTTTTTAGATTTTTCTTAAAGGGAACAAGTAGGATTTTACAATTTTTTTTAGAATTATTATTTTTATTTATTAGTTATTATTATTTTCACATGAGTTTTGCCAGAGAAAGACATAGAGAGAAAGAGAGAGAGAGAGGGAGAGTGAGAAAGCAAGCCACCAGGTCCAGGATTCAAACCATGGCTGGCCATATGGGAATTCCAGCGCCTTAACCACCACGCCACCTGCTGGTCCCGGATTTTACAATTTTTTTTTGGAGTTAAAAAGTATCTGCTATTCTGCAGAATTCCACATCACAAATGTTATTACTGACTTATTAGAAGGGAGGCCAGGAGTGACCTGATGACTGAAAAATGTTTAGTTGAGATAAGTACCCAAGGATTGAAAATTTTGTTGCATGTGTCCACAATAAAATACACAGGCAAAATTTATTATTATTATTACTATGGTAAACAGCATAGCTGAAGTCCTTACCCAGGTTTCTTTTTGATGAGTGTCTATAAATAACAGATGTGTGGCCGTAAGATACAGTGTTCCCGTCAGTGACTTGTTTCCAGTACTGAATCGGTCAAGTAATTTTACTTGTTCAACCTAAAAAAGAAGAAAATGTTATTTTCCATTTCAAAAATACTATGAATTCTTTTTCTGTTATCCCATGATTTAAATGTATTATTTTCAATTTTTTCATTTCTGTTCAAAACCATACAAGTTTATTTAATATTCATTGTTAAATTTCATATATTTTGGGGAACATATAGACCACTAGCAACATGGGTATTATTTACTGTTAACAAATGTAAACCCCTTTGTTTAGGAAAAAAATATTAACACAATATATTAAGGGGAACAAATAAGGGAGATGCAGTATGATAAATAAAAACATATTTCATGCTCAAGTCGACATTTTCATTTGAAATTGGAAAATCAAATAATGAAGTTTTAGAAGTAAACTACCTGAAAAATTAAATCAGGAACCAGTTAAATGTTTGTAACCTCCAGCTTAAGTCTCTAAATTCTCTTCATCATCCCACACCAAGACAATGATCACTCGTGTCCAGCTCTGGGCTTTTGATTCACACTGCTGTCCCTTCCTAAAATATCTATTCTTCTTGGCCAAGTGTTAAACATTCTCCAGTGTTCACTGACACCCTACTTACTAACACAAATCCTTTACAAAAAAATTAACTTATTCCCTTTGTCTTAGCTTTTTATTTCTTCCTAGTTCTCAGTTCCCTGACACAAATTATATCTTTGGCTTCTATGGCCTCCTCTAGTGCCTGAGGCAGTGAGGTACATGGTATGTCTTTACTAAGAAATACAGGGACCAGCAGTTAGCGTAATGGCTATGTCGCTGGACTCCCATGTAGTCGACCGCAGTTGGTGTCCTGGACCCGGTGGCTTAAAACTCACGCCAGGCGCGTGTGCGTGCGTGCCCAAGTTCCCGAGAGGAGAATGGAGGAGAAGGGATTTTGGCGTGACCATCCCCCCTGGGGGGTGATTTCTCGCTTTCTGTCTCTCTGTCTGTCTCTGTCTGTCTGGCGAGCGCACGCGCCCTATAGCGAAAACCTCTCCAAAAAAAAAAAAGAAATACATACAAGGTTGCTTCTAAAGTGAGAGTGGCACTGGGATTACTCAGCAATGTGCAGACTACCGTCTCCAAATTTACTGTTTTCCTTTTACAGCCTTATGGGAAAAAGAAAAAGAAAAATAACCAATACCACCTTGAATTTTTTTAATTTATAAGTAGAACAGCAGCATGTTCTGGATAGTTCTAAAAGGTGTCTGTGTTTTCAAAGCCATCCAGATAGTTAACCATTATCTCATTAATTGTATACATTTCTTGGGCCAATAGGTGGCGTGGAGGTCAAGGAGGCTGGCACCCATGTGGCTGACTATGCCGGACCGCCGGGACCATGTGGTTTGAGTCCTGACCCAGTGGCTTGAAATTTATGCCAAGTGCATATGTTTGCATGCTAAAATCCTGAGAGGAGAATGGAGAAGAGATTGTGACAGCACCATTCCCTGCAGGTGATTTCTCACTTCCCCTCTCACTTTCTCTCTCTCTGGCAAATGCACATAACCCTATGGCTAACTAAAGACAACAAAACTGTACATTTCTCCCATATATATTTTCTTTCTCTTACTTTAGTGAAGAATAAAATTCCCCCTTTATGAAATTATAATCTTGAAAGTGATCAATCATCACCATTTAAAAGGCTAATTAGTTTCTCCTACCTTCCCCAGTTCCAGAAATCTACTTTCACAGTTTTTACATGTATGTACCAGTACTTGTTCAAATAGGCTAATTTTAAGTGTAAAAAATCTTAAATTTGCAGAGAGGTCTTGGCAGGGAAAATGGCAGGCGGGAAGGTGGGAGAGGAGAAGCCTGAACAGTGCAGTGAGCTGGAGCCACTGGAGTAGTGGAGGGGAAAGTTCCAGTCGCAGCAATCAGCTGAAGCAGCAGCTGAAGAGCTCCCAACAATGCCAATAAAGATCTCCAAGCTTGGGTTTGCCATAGATCGTCAGAAGGCAAGAAAAGCACCAGCCATATCCATCAAACTTGGATCAAGTAAGCCTAAAGAAACTACTCCAACTCTTGTTCCAAAACCCTTTCAGTAGCAGCGACATTTTTGTTTGTTTGGTTTTGGTTTTTTTGTTTGTTTGTTTTTTGGAGAGGTTTTTGTTTTGTTTTGTTTTTGCTATAGGGCGCATGCGCTCGCCAGACGGAGAGAGACAGAGAGACAGAAAGCGAGAAATCACCCCCCAAGGGGGATGGCCACACCGCAATCCCTTCTCCTCCATTCTCCTCTCGGGATCTTGGGCATGCACGCACACGCGCCCGGCGTGAGTTTAAGCCACCGGGTCCGGGATGCGAACCACAGTTGACTACATGGGAGTCCAGCGACATAGCCATTACGCTAACTGCTGGATAGTGAACCAGAGGAAATGCCTCCAGAAGCAAAGACGAGGGTGAAGAATATAGGAAGGGATACACCAACGTCAGCCAGACCAAATTCCTGCAATAAAGGAAAGCACGGGTTTTCTGATAACCAGAAGCTATGGGAGCGAAATATAAAATCTCTTGCAAAATGTCCATGACTGAGACTATTAAATAGTGTGTTTTGAAATTGGGGTGTGGGTGGGTATAAAATTAAAAGGAAGTTTCCTTTTTTAAAGAATGGTATAAAATTATCTTTGGAGCCACTTTCTTTTTCTTTTTCATTTTCATTTTTTTTTTTTTGAGATTTTTTACTATAAGGCGCATGCGCTCACCAGAAAGAGACAGACAGAGAGACAGAAAGCTCACCCCCCAGAAGAGATGGCCACGCCACAATCCCTTCTCCTCCATTCTCCTCTCGGGACCTTGGGCA